AGGCTGATTTAACATCCTCATAAATCTATACCATGCCAAGTTGTTATAATTTTGGTAGAAATATAAACGTTTTCTGCCAAGGTCTTCGTATTCTATTGATTTTAACAGTTGCATTTTTCCTGCATAAATAATATCGAGATGGTATGTCTCTTTCGTCAATGTTTATACTGGTATTGCATATTCGATATAATGTATCCGTTTATTTTTTCTTGGAAAAGCTTGAGAGAATTGGTTTCTAAGTTTACAAGGCAAAATTCACTTGGTAAAAGTTTTCCCTGTTCAAATTTCCTCCAATACATAATCGATTTTTACTTATGTATTATAGTATCAATTACACAAAACCGACCAGTAAAATGGGAACAACCATGTTATGGCTCTGACAATGAAATCTTCATTCTACGGAAAGCCAATAGCTTTTTGTGAAGATGGGTCTCTTAACCATCTTAAGGCGTAGTCAAAACGATAAGCCTTCATGTCTTACGGTCTTCTGTCTCAAACTTTGACCACATTAGTTAAAAAGTGTTCATCTAATGCGTTAGTTGTAGCAACTCTAAGAATTTCTTTTCTATTGAAAGCATATTTTTATCTTAGAATAAAAATGTCAAATGAAACAGCGTCTATGAGAGAAAAATACAACACAAACGAACAACTCATATACAAGCTCCTAAATAAGAACACAACAACTTTTCAAAAACTATCTAAGATATCTGAGTCATGAAAAAGGAAACTTAAAACTGACATTAAACCCAATGACAGATGAGTTTCTATTTCAAGAACAATAAGAACCCATACTTGTCTGTTATAAAAATTCCCAACAAAAAGGAACTTTAAACGAGAAAACCTTAAATTGAACTCTTTTTGAAAGGCAGATGTTGACAACAAAGCTGACAAAGAATATGTAGACGATGCAAATCAGCAAAAGAAGAAGAAAAGAGACTAACCAAAGCTTGAGCAAATACAAAAAGAACCTACTCATCCTGAAACTAGCAGACAAAACATAAGTCCGACACATAAAAAATGATCAAGTGAAAGTGACAAGAGCAAGTGAAAACGAATGATTTCTAAAAAACCTACATATAACCACTATCTAATATCTGAATATTACCAAACCTAAAACCGTTAGGCCTTGAAAAGAAAAGCGCGATAAGCAAATTGATGCTCAGTAAGTTAAACCGAGAAGAAAGCAACGATAAAGGAATATAGTGGTATGAAAAAGATAACGAAATACGAAACAGAAAAGGGCTTGACTAACCCACCCAGCGACACAGGTACACCAATGCAATGACGACAATCGAACCAGAATTTATTAACCACTAAAGACCCGAAAATACCAGCATGACGGCCATTCTTCAGGATTGCTTATAGAACCTTAATAGCACGAAATTAAAAACTTATGTTAACCGAATGAAAGTCAAGAGAAGAAAGCAAATAAGACTCATACACCAACCTACCAAGTTTTACAACTAAGATGACACACAAATATAGGAAAGTATGAAGGAAAAACGGTATGAAGACAACTGGTGGAGGACTGCCATTATATTGATAAAAACCCTCACTAAACATTATCCACGATTTAACACAATACGAAATGGACACCCATAACGACCGAATAGAGAAAACATTAGATGCTAAAGAACTGATTCTACTGTCATGCAAGGAAAAAAACCAAAAACAACAAAAATGAACACTACTAATCAACATACAAAAACTGCATCAAGATAAACAAAATACTGACAAGAAGCAGAACAACACACAGAGTAAATCCAAAACATCATAAGACAGAACACCATGCTTCAAACATATATAAATACCACTACAAATAGCCTTATTCATATACTCAAAAAAAATAGAAAACTAATACCAGACCAGAAACATTTGGTTTTGGAACTTTGGACTCAAATAGTCGACAGGTTTTGTATTGTGCAAAACTCTCAAAGGAACGGTGGAAGTAAAACGATTTCAGGTGAAAAACTAATTTTACCTGCACACAGTCACTACATAGATTTAAGTACATCTCAATGCAGTGTGCATAAGCATTTAGATATTTGGCATTGGTCAGCAATGACAAAAGGTTAAAGAATATGATGTATAAAGACAACGTTAAAGTTTGCCTATAAAATTGTTAACTGGAGTAACCCTTGAGGAGGAGGAAACATAACATCGCGTTTCGGATATACGCAAACAACGGACAACAGTAAAGACTACATGCCACCTTACATGACATTACGCATGGATACTAAGAAATGCTTAGTCGTCATTTTTCAACTTCTTTTAGCATATTCGTCAGGAGCTTGTCTTATATTTGTTAGGAAACTGTCTTTTGAAAGTATACCACCTTGAACTTTGACAAGTTTTAAACGAGGTCTGACAATAGTAGTTTTAATCTTCTGCTTGCAGTGTTGTTAATTTTGCCATGTTTGCCTAACTTCATAAGATTCTTCTTGTATACTTTCTTCTATTTTTGACGAACACGAATGTGAGTACCTGTCGGGTTCCATCGCTTGTCATAGTCAATAGTATTTTCATACGGGTCGGTTTAGTATTCTATTTTTACTTGTCACCTTTCTGAAGTTGAAGCCCGGCATTCTTTTCTTTGTTTGTCTCTTTTGAACTAAATTATTAAAAAATATTAGTCTTTTCTCTAATCTGGGTTGTTTTTCATTTCCTTCGGGGGATGGTTTCCCAAACCTTTTTGTTTACGGTTATTGTAAATATTTAAAACTTGTCTCATCTTTGCCATGGAGAAGTGTCTAATTGTCGTCATATTGACATTTCATTTGCTTCACCACCTTGTGGTTGGTTTAAGTCCTATTAACATTTTTTATACAACCGTCAATGACACCCAGATGCAGAATGGTTTTTGGGTCGACAAATGGAAAATATTGGTTAACATTTTTTGACGAGATCAGTTTTTTAACCCATGTCTTGATTTGAAAAGAACTTTCCACAGTCAAGCATGTTAGTTTTGTTGGCGAATGGTAATTTGTCAACGAATCATTGTCCAAGCCTGCTTAAGATATCTAAAATATTTTTTGGACCTGTACCTGGTAATGGCTTCACAGTATCTTGTGGTTTTGAAACGCAACAAATATTAATGCCGTATGGTGGTCCATCTGTTTCTACTCTCGCGAATGTTTTCCAAGATATCATAAACCAAGCATTTGTGTTGAACTTAAGATTTCTTACCCATGCAAGTGCTTTCTTTGTCGCTTTTAAGAAACATAGGGCCTTGTTTGGGATCTCGTCATTTTTATCCTCTAAGAAATGGGTTTTATTGGCGCATTAGCAAGGAGTCGCATCTAGATTTTTACCCGGGTTGGAAAATAGCCAGAGGTGTATTTGGAGTTGGCAGGAAGATTTTGAGTACATTAGGTATATTAAAGAGAAGCACAACCTATCTATACAAAACATGTAACAGAAAGGTTGGGATGTTAGCCACGAGATGCAACAAATCTTATTCCAAATCCTGAACAAGAGGAAAAAGTTTCAAGGATGATGGACAATGTAGGAAGACAAGCAGGAAACTATTTAACAAAGCAAATGATACTATAACAAGAGCGACACTATATTGGACCAAGGTGGAAAGATTCCTTTAAACAGAGGAATATAACCATGCACAACAGTGGGTAAA